CCCGAGTGCCACCGTGGAAGCTGGACCAGGCTGACTGGCCAACTTTCACCTCTCTCTCTAAACTTGATCCTGCCTTCGTCTGTCTACCATCAATAGATGATTGTGTGGTGGCAGTGACTGACTGTATTGTCCAGGTGGCTGCTCATTTTATTCCTAAGACCTCGACACGTTTTCCACAGTATCATCGTTCATGGTGGAGTCCTGCCTGCAAGGAGGCACGGAAGGCTCAAAAACGGGCATGGGATACCTTTCGACAGTATCCCACTCTTTCTAACCGCATTGTTTATCAGCGGGCCCATGCCCATGCTCGGCAGGTTCGACATCAAAGCCAAAAGGAGTCTGGGATTAAGTTCACTACTAGCATCTCTTCTACCACCAGTTTCAAAAGTGTATGGGACAAGATTCGGAAAGTCACTGGGAGGTATGCTTCCCATCCCCTTTCCATCTTGCTCTCCAATCGCCAGGAAGTTGCTGATGTCCAGAGCATTGCTGATGCTCTCGGCCAGAGCTTTTCTCGTGCTTCTAGCACTTCTGTTTCTTTTCCTGCCTTCTTGGCCATAAAGTCTCGGGCAGAGCGATCGCCTCTTTCCTTTTGGGCCGATCGTCTCTATGATTATAATCGCCCCTCTTCATCGATCTGGTAGTACATCGGTCGAACCTGATGATGTTCATTATGAGATGTTATGCCATCTCTCTCCTGCCTCTCTTGCTATTCTTCTGGTTATTTTTAACCGGATTTGGCAGGAACATATTTTTCCAGATGCTTGGCGCCAGGCTATTGTCCTCCCTTTCTCCAAACCTGGGAAGGATCCCAAGATTCTTTCTAATTATCATCCCATCGCTTTGACTAGCTGTCTTTGTAAGGTACTAAAGTGGATGGTTAATGCTCGTCTTGTTTGGTTCCTGGAATCAAACATGCTCCTCTCGCCCACCCAGTGTGGGTTCCATCGACAGTGCTCCACCATGGACCATCTGATTCGACTTGAAACGTCGATCAGGGAAGCCTTTCTCAAGAGAGAACACCTTGTTTCTGTGTTCTTTGATCTCGAGAAGGCTTATGACACTACGTGGAAGTACGGAATTTGCAGGACCTCCCCTCCTATGGGTTGCTTGGCCATTTACCCATTTTTATTCGCAATTGTTTACCGAACAGGCGATTCCAAGTCCGTGTGGGTTCAACTCTTTCCCGTTCCTTTCCACAGGAACTTGGAGTCCCTCAGGGCTGTTTCCTGAGTGTCACACTTTTTAGTGTTAAAATTATTGCCATCACTACAAATCTTCCTCCGACTGTTGCAAATGGGCTCTATGTCGACGACTTCGACATCTCGTATCAGTCGTCGAACATGAGGTTTATTGAGCGGCAGCTTCAGACTGCCCTCAATCGGTTGCTGACATGGACCACTGCAAATGGTTTTAAATTCTCTTTTTCCAAAACAGTTGGCATGCATTTTTGCTGCCAACGGGGTCTCCACCCCGATCCCGAGCTCCATCTCGGCGATGTAATTATTCGTGTGGTCCCTGAGGGAAAGCTCTTGGGCTTATCTTTGACCGTAAGCTTAGCTTCATTCCACACATCAAGCAGCTATGTGTCAAGTGTGCAAGGGCTCTGAACATCTTCCGTGTCCTCTCTTCCAGCTCTTGGGGAAGGGATCGATGTTCTATGCTCAGGATCTATCGTGCTCTGATTCGATCCAAACTGGACTATGGGACTTTGGTCTATGGTTCTGCCAGGACCTCAGCCCTGAAGATGCTGGACCCCATTCACCATCTGGGGCTTCGGTTCTGCACCGGTGCTTTTCACACTTCTCCAGTCCAGAGTTTGTACACTGAGTCCCACGAACCTTCTCTTCACCTCCGTCGTTTGCCACTTTTTTACAATATGCTACTAAGCTTCGATCCTTACCACGGCATCCCACGAACCTTCTCTTCACCTCCGTCGTTTGCAACTTTTTTACAATATGCTACTAAGCTTCGATCCTTACCACGGCATCCCACCTGGGATTGTGTTTTTCTTCCTCGGTGGGCAATGCTCTATCAGAACAGATGGTCTGCTATTCCTCCATTTGGCCTTCGTATCTGGGCATCACTGGCTGAATTGGGCCTGGCATTGGATGATATTGCTGTCCCCAATGATCAGCTCATTCCACCATAGCTTATTACCATCCCATCCTGTGACCTTTCCTTAAGTCATCTGGGGAAGGCGGATACTCCCGATTGGAAGTACTGTCTTCTTTTTGCTGGACATCTTTCGAACCATTTCTCTCTTCCCATTTACACGGATGGTTCGAAATCAGGTGACTCTGTAGGTTCTGCCATGGTTT